GAAGTAATGTGTGAATTTTAAGTTAGAAAGTATTTTGTTACTAGCTTTTAATTTTTTTCCAGAGGCACTTACTTCACTTAGTATAATCTAATTCTAAGTGGTCTCAGCTAAGTAATAATTATGGTATTTGAGTTATGTAGACCAGAGTGAAGTGAATGAAGGATAACAGAGTAAAATATGATACCAGAAAGTTGAAAGTGGATAGTAGGGGAGATTGTTTTCAGCCTTCTAGGTCATTCTAACAATGTTAACTTTAACCTGGAGTGTGATGAAGAATGTCTGGAAGATTTTGTGTAGATCACTAGTCTATCTAACTTAAATTACAGGATTTCTTTGTTGCTATGTCGTGTAGACTCTAAGGGGATTATTGTGAAAGCAGGGAGATAAAATAGAAGGCTGTTGCAATCAACCAACTGAAAGACCAGGTTGGTGATAAATAGATATGATGAGGAGTTACTGGATTCTGGATATATTTAGTGGGTATAACCAATAGAAATAGTCTGATAGGGTGAATATAGTATGTAAAGATAGATGGGAATCAAGAAAGACATTCAAAATTTCTGGCCTGAGTAAATGAAATGATGAAGTAACCATTAGCAGAGGTAAAAGCATTTTTTTTTTTTTTCAGCATAAGTTTTAGGGAAAATACTAGGAGCTTGGTTGTGAACTGTAAACATGAGTATCTCCTATTCATGTGATGTCAAGCAGGCAGTTGGTTTATGAGAGTGTGGATGTCATCAGCGAGGACTAGGTTGGAGATATAATTGAACTGTCAGTTTATGGATGTTATTTAAAGTGACAATACTGCAAGAGATCACTGAAGGAGTGAGTATAGACAATGAAGAAAAGATGTCTAAATCAGAGCTCTACAGTACCCCAGCGTCAAGAAAATGAGGACCAAATAGTAAAGACTAATAAAGAATGACTGGTGACTTGGGAGGAAAATGAAGAGTGTAGTATTCTAGACATTTCACATAAGAAGTGATCCATAAAATCAAATAATGCTGATAGGTCAAGTAAGGTGAGGACTGTATAAATAACCATTAAAAACATCTAAATGTGTAAGCTACTTAATAAGTAGTAACTACCATTTATTGACCTTTTTCTTTGTGATAAATGCTTTATTAGGTTTTGTATAGTTATCTTTAATCCATAAGACAGCCCTGCATGATAAGGATTATAATTTCTACTTATCAGATATTGGAAGTCAAGTAAGTTTTTTGTTACTGTACTAAAATACGAATTACTTCTTAGAAAAGAGGCTTAATTTGCTCATAGTTTTGGAGGTTCAGGGTTGTGTCACTGGCATCAATTTAACTCTGGTGAGGTCCCTCTGAGCTGTGTCACACCAAGGGAAACAATGGAAAAAGACAGTGAATTTTGTTTACCCACAAGTCTCAACTCAAGAGAGCTGGAGAATCTTCCGCATCCTACTCGCTCTCTTCTGTTTGCTTCTAGGGAGGATTCTTTTTGCGCCTCTGGCCTTTGATGGCACCCTGAATTTCCCTTAGCAGTATTTTTCACATTATACTGCATCCCCTGCTTTCTCTCTTTACTTGACCCCTTAGAAACTAGAGTTCTGTTTCCTCTCTTTGACCTTCTGAATAAAGAATTAGTTGATTTGACTGTTTTGTTAGGTACTCTGTGTTTTATTGGACTTTTCTAGGTTACCACACCATCCCTAACACTATATACTCTCAGATACATGATGGATACTAAGATATTTTATGTGAATGCAGGTGATGACCAGGTTTGTTTTTAGCCTTTTCCTTCTGAATTGTGGTTTTGTATTTATAATGCCCTCTCTCTGACATTACCACTGATGTATCACAAAGGTACTTTAAATCCAATAAACCTAAATCCCAGATTCTTTCCCTCAGGGTCTCCCCACTCCTCTTCTCTCCCTCCTTCTTCTGTCATTGACATTTCCAAACTGAGAGTATCCTGTACCATCCACATCAGTTAGTTATCAGAGTCCATCAATTCTGCTTTCTAATAGTTTTTGAAATTCATTACCTTAGTTCCATATTTTTGCATAGCTTTATTTTATGATTTTTATCACTTTTCTACCTTTCCAATGACAAAGCCTTCTAATTTATCTAAGTTTATATAAATTTCAGTAGTTTAAAAAGAAATATATTACCATTTTAAAGCATTGTAAATGAAACATCTGGAAACAATGATTATTACATTTTACCCTTCTAAATAAACTACTGTGTTTATTTAGTGTGTACATTTTCATTCATTAAGGACTTTGTTCATTTCCAGAAATAAAGTATTGAATCAATTGTGTGCAAATTGTGTAAAAGACATTTAATATATAATAGAGGAAGTTTTTTTCTATTCATAAGCAATAAAGATGCCACCTTGTCCATAAAATATTAAATTTTAGCTATTCCCTATAAGAGCTTACTGACTTACTGACCATATATCCAAAGCAGTCCTTATCTATGGAGGAAGCTTCCCAACCATATTTAAATTACAGTTTTTTTCCCAAAATGGGCCAAGATGGAGTAAAAGGGACCAGATTTACCTTGCTTCCTGAAACAATAAGAAAAATGGGCAAAACATAAATCAATGGTTTTGGACTTGCTTATTAGGCAGAATGTGACAATAGTCACTCAGAAGAGGAAACTAGTAAGGTGAAATGTACAATTGTTCCAACTCTGTCTAGGAAGAATTTTCATGTTTTAATGTAGGAAAGGCGACCTGGTGGTCTCCCTGAGTTGAGGTGGACTTGCAGGGACATCACTGGTGAAAAGTTACTAAGACACAGGTCCTATATCAGGTCCCCTTACAGTCTTCAGCTGGGACTGATTAACATGGAATGAAGAAAGTGTCTGAGACTAATAAAGGAGCCACCCAAAAGGTTTAGAGATCATAGGCGGTTAGACAGAATCTGTAATACTTTCTGTTACCACCAGCCAGAGTGGAAGACCCTCTTAATTCTTTGGATATCATGAAGTACTCAGGAGGGCAATACCTCAGGGCAAAAGTAGTGCCATGCTAATGGCTGTTCTGGTCCTGCCTAACAAAGCTTAAAAATAAAGCTTTGAAAGTAGTCTAATACATGTCTGATTGAAGTCCCAGCAGAGAAGATTGTGAAAGAGGAAGCAGAAAAAATATTTAATGAACTAATAGCTAAAAGTTATCCCAATTTAGTGAAAACTAGAGCCAAGAAACTCAACAAGACCTAAGCACGAACAAAAAACAAAAAATAATAAATAAAATTAAAAAACCATGAAGAAAACTATGCCAAGGTACTTCACAATCTAATTGCTTAAATCCAATGATAAAGAGAAAATGTTTATGTATCTAAAGGGAAAAAGCATGTGTACAAGGAAACAGAGATAATGCTGGTGGCAGATTTCTTAAAGCAATGCCACCCAAAGACAGTGGAGCAACATCTGTAAAATAGGAAGAAAAAAGAATAGTCAGGTGTCCTTTCTATTTAGGACTCTCTTCTAATCTACCTCAATTCTTCATTAGTAGCTGTGTATTGCTTAAAATATTTTGTAAGAGACTGTCAGAATTTATAAAAAGTATGGAGTATTTCAAAAGCAGTAATATATGATATAATATATAATAATTCCGTTGTGTTTTGACATTTGGAATAGGTGAAGAAAATAAATTGAAAATCTTAGTAAATCCCAAGCCCCCAAATAGAAATTATAAAAATGAAAGAGAATTAAAGCATATTAGAGCCTGTGTAAGAAACTATTATAGTATTTAAATATCAAATGAGCAAAGGTGGAAAACTGCCATGGTTGCAGGGAAGTTTTTAATTAAAGTGAAGTTCTTTCTGATTGCTTGAAGGTGAGAAGTTTGATTATTTTAATTACTATATTTAATTTTAGCAGAGAATCTTTTAATAACCTAGTTCAAATTAAAAATTTGTCAGAAATTAGTTGAGAAAAAATGTATTTTCCTCTTGTTTATACTGTAAATGTGGTATATAAAATAGAAGATTAAATACTATCTTGGTATATTTCATTGCACTACAGTGTAGTATACTAGTTTAGATTTATTACTGGAGCCATATGGAATGAATAATGTGTTTTTGGTTTCCATTAAAATTTCTTCAAATAATTCTTAAGGTATACTTTTCAATCTTTTCTATTGACAAACATTTTGCAAGCAAAATCTTTAGATAAAGTTTTATGGTAGAATTGGGATTTAAAAGTTAAAACTTGAAAGGACAGGACTTAAATAGGATAAGGAAGAATGTTTCCATTTAAAAGAAATATAATATATGATATGACTTCTCAGAACAGTAAGAATGGTTCATGTTTGAAAGATAAAGAAGTAAATAGTGTAGGTAGGGTAGGTCTTGATTATTTGAAGGCCTTTGAAAAACAAATGAGTGAAATAGATGTTGTCCTAGTCCATTTTGTGTTGCTCTAACAAAATAGCTGTTGCCTAGTTATATATGAAGAAAAGGGGTATGTTTGTCTTACAATTCTTGCGGCCACATAGTCCTTGAAAACATCACATCAGCATCTGGCAAGGACCCCTTGACTGCTTGACCATAGGGTGGATAGCATCAAGTGCCAGGATTTGGGAGGAGTATAAAAGAGGGGTCACCTGGAAAGAAAAGAAGCAAGAGATTGAGATGAGAAGGACAAACGTGCTTTATAACAGACCACTCTTGTGTTAACCAGTCCAGTCCCTCCAGAACAGTAAATTACTTTTGAGAAAAAGCATTACTCCCTCTTAAAGGCCCCAAATTTCTGGACATTGTTAAAGTTATGACCAACCCTCAAGATGAATTATGGTAGAGTCAGTTAAACATTCAAACCATAGCAAATGGCATCTAAGTTAGAATTTTCTTCTAAGGAGAATGAATTATCATTCATTCAGGTCTGAAATAAGAATTTTTGAATTTCAACCCAGTATTTTTTATATTAACTTTCATTGTGTTTAATTGTGAATAAATACAGATTAAAAAGCAAAGCAAGAACTTTTTAACCTGAAAAGGGGGATGTGTTTTTCTCTTCTAGTCCACTCCTTTACATCTAGCAGCAGGCTACAACAGAGTTCGTATAGTTCAACTTCTTCTTCAGCATGGTGCTGATGTTCACGCAAAAGACAAAGGGTAGGTGTATTAGTTTATTTCCTTTCAGTAGTTTTGTTTATGGAATATTATTCTTTATTTTTATCATCTGATTCTTCAAGGTTTTAAGCTCTGGACAAAGAAGGTCATATATCCCATTCATTAAGAATGTTCATAATTTTGATTTCAGACTTTACTTTCAAGTACCCACTTATTATTCAGACTTCTCATAATAATTTCCTAAATCATTCCTAATTTTATTGCAATTCTGTTATTTGAAGTTTTAAATTTGCTTTTGTGTTCCAATCATCTTTTTTTAACTATTGAATTGCAGTAAAGAAATATAAAAGAAATTGGAAATTGTAATAATCTGGTAGCATAGCTATCATATTCATCAGGTATTAAAAGACCATCTCTTATTAATAAACCAAAATCATAAATATATAATATTCTAATTTGGTTAGTGAAATCTTGGACATCTAAACTGAGAAAACCTAGAAGATCCTTAATGAAGGTTAATATGGGAGAGGAATGAATGGGAACCAAGAAAGCATTTATGTCATTTATTTTATGAATGGAAGATTTTTTTTAAAACTTTGTACCAGCCTCCTATTTACTATCCAGGGATTATGAACAGTAAGTTTGTATTATTACTTTGAGATCTAAAAGATAATTCACCCTATCCCAGGTAAGGTAGATTATATTATACTCTTGTAATTGACATCAGAAAGAAGAGATGCCCTAGAGGAGAGTTTTTTGCATTCTGCCTCTTTCATTCAAGGAAACAGAGACATGAACTCAGTATTTGAGATATTTATGAGAAGGGGAATCTGTCCATTTCAAATATACAATTTTCCATGCTGTTTCTCTCTTGCCTGTGCCAAGTTTTGTGCCATATGCATATGGCATCCCAATAGTATAGGGGCATAAATGCCTGATCTTTGGAATATCTCTATTTCCTTGTGCATGTCTGAAAACAGATGGGTGTACAGTAAGCGAGTAATCAAGAAAAGTATACCACAGAAGGAGTTTTTGACCCGTTTAAACTATTTTGATATGCAAGTTGGATATTTAAGTTTTATGCTGCAAATTACCATGAAAGTGAGTTAAAATGGTAGAAACATTTCAATTCACTACCAGGTAACATTTCTTATAAATAATTAATACATAAAGCGTGCAATGCTGTATTTTTAATATGTTAATATTTGCTAGATTCTTGTTTCTTAGTACTTCGTAGATGAATAACTATAAGATGTTTGAAATTTAAGAATTTTAATTTGCTTCTTCATCAGTGGACTTGTGCCTCTTCATAATGCATGTTCATATGGACACTATGAAGTCACAGAACTACTACTAAAGGTAAGAAGCTCAAAATTCAAAACGTATGCTGCTTAAAAGTTATTGTTACTTTGTTTTGTTATTGTTGTTTGGCTAATAAGATTTTTAAGAGAGTATGATAATTTTAAAAACTATTACCATTGCTTACAATTTTTTGAACATTCAACTAATAATTCAGCTGTTTTTTAAAACTGAAATTATTGCAATCACATTTCAAAAAGTTACAACTGAAATTTACAGTGCAAAAAAAATTTCTGAGTTTAATTTGATTCTGTGAAGTTATTACTAACCTAAAACATTTTTTCTCCATTCAGCATGGAGCTTGTGTTAATGCAATGGATCTCTGGCAGTTTACTCCACTACATGAGGCTGCTTCCAAGAATCGTGTAGAAGTCTGTTCTTTGTTACTGAGCCATGGTGCTGATCCTACTTTAGTCAACTGTCATGGGAAAAGTGCTGTGGATATGGCTCCAACTCCTGAACTTCGGGAGAGACTGACTTGTATGTATTTATACCCTAAAATCAGTATTACTGGCTATTAATCAGAATATCTGATTTCTTTTTAGTTATCAAAGCTAGTATTTTATCTAATTTACACAATACCCTTCCATTCTTACAAGCATACTAGTTTAAAATCCTCTTTTCTAATTCTGTACTTTCCTTCATGAATTACACAAGAATCTTATATACGTACACTATATATATTTTACAGTTATTCAAGACTAATACTAACTCATATGTGTTAAGGCTAATGAAGATGAAGCAAGGCAGCCATTGGCAGCCATTTAGTGAATACTTAGTGACAAACACTAGAAAAAGAACACTGTACAAACCAGAACAAAAATCTCCACATTCAGAGTGCTTATATTCTTATGCTATTGGTAATAATCAATGATATTTAACATTAAGTACTTTTATAGTCACATTTTTTTCACTGTGACAACAACTTAAAGGAGGAGAGTTTAATTGGGCTCATGATTTCAAAGTCTCAATCTTTGTTGGCCTAATTCTATTGTTCTGGGCCTAAGGTAAAGCAGAACATCATGGTAGAAGGACATAGTGGAGGAATCTGCCCAGCTCTTGGCAGCCGGAAAGCAGAGAGAGAGGGAGGGAGAGAGAGAATTTTTAAATAAACTTTGTGTTTTAGAATACTTTTTGAAATACAGAAAATTTATGAAGATGGTATAGAGTTCTCACATACCCCATACCAAGTTTCCTGTATTACCAGCATTTTACATTATTAGTAAGATACATTTGTCCCAATTAAAAACCAACATTGATTTAGATTTCTTTGGGTTTTACCTAAAATCCTTTTTCTATTCTAGGGTCTTATTCAGGATGACATATAACATGTAATTACTGATTTAATTCTACATATGGACATTTCAGGTTTAAATTAAGCTAGGTGTCACCTAATTTTTAACTTTCCTACATCTAGGATTCTAAGAATCAAAAACAACCTAGTAAAGTTTTTGTTAAATTATAATTCAAGGACAAGGTATAATCAAAATCATGATAATATAATTTGTATTTAAATAGATTTTAAACTTGTCAAAATTAAAATAGAAAAACTTCCCTGTAATTTTCATCTTGTTTAGTGGAAATTTAAATTTATTTTGGTATTCAAATAAATGACATCTGTTAGACTATAGGATAGTGTAAACCAGATTGTAATTGTGCAAATGTCTTTTTAATGAACCTTGTAGAAGTTGATCCCACCCAGGTGACTCTTGCCATACGTTTTCTTGCTTTATATAATTCATCTTTCTAAGTATTTGGTCTAAATAGGAAAATTTACATTCTTTAAGAGAAAGATCTTTGATTTTGGTTTTCTTAACACCTGTACAAGTTCTTTGTTAACTAAGAAAAATGTGGGATCATATTTGTGTTTGCGCCTGTATATCCACCTAACTTAAGCCAAGGACAGTGTATTGTAAATACTATATGCTCAGTAAAATTCTCAGAATGAATTTGGGTGAGTGCCACTGTGCACACCCATAATCTCAGCTCCTCAGGAAACCTAGGGAAGAGAATCTTAAGGTTCAAGGCCAGTCGGGACTACATTAACAAGACCTTGTCCTAAAAAACCAAAGAACCAGGTGGGGTGGCATATGCCTTTAATCCCAGCAGCTCAGGAGGGTGAGACAGAAGGATAGCAAGTTCAAAGCCAGCCTCAGCAAGTTATGAGGTCCTAAGCGATTTAGTGAGATACAGTCTCAAAATTTAAAAAAGGGACTGGCAGGGCTGGGGGTGGGGGATACCAAAAAGAAAAAAAACAAAGAGAAGAAAATTTGACACTATTCAAAACTTATTTTACCATTTTCATATTTCCTTATTTTAATTTATATATTGACGCAGCTTTGTCTCAGTTGTTATTTTAATTTTTCCTCCTTTTAATCGTTTTAGAAATTATGAATACTATAAGAAGTTTTTTTTAATCTTTTTATTTGTATATGACAGCAGAATGCATTACAACTCTTATTACACATATAGAGCACAATTTTTCATATCTCTGGTTGTATACAAAATATATTCACACCAATTCATGTCTTCATACCTGTATTTTGGATAATAATGATCATCACATTCCACCATCATTTATACTCCCATGCCCCCTCCCTTCCCCTCCCACACCTCTGCCCTAATTAGAGTTCGTCTATTCCTCCCATGCTCCCTCTCCCTATCCCACTATGAATCAGCCTCCTTATATCAGCATTTGGTTTTTTGGAATTGGCTAACTTCAGTTACATTATCTTCTCTAACTCCCCATTTACTTGAAGATGCCATGATTTTGTTCTCTTTTATTGCTGATATTCCATTGTGTATATATGTCACTTTTTTTTTTATCCATTCATCTATTGAAGAGCATCTAGGTTGATTCCATAGTTTAGCTATTGTGAATTGTGCTGCTATAAAAATTGATGTGGCTGTGTCCCTGTAGTATGCTATTTTTAAGTCATTTGAATATAGACCGAGGAGAGGGATACCTGGGTCAAATGGTGGTTCCATTCCCAATTTTCCATGAAATCTCCATACTACTTTCCATATTGGCTATGCCAATTTACAGTTCTTCCAGCAGAGTTTGAGCGTACCTTTTCCCCCACATCCTCGCCAACACTTGTTGTTTGTATGCATAATAGGTGCCATTCTGACTGGAGTGAGATGAAATCTTAGAGTGGTTTTGATTTGCATTTCTCTGATTGCTAGAGATGATGAACATTTTTTCATATATTTGTTGATTGATTGTATATCATCTTCTGAGAAGTGTCTCTTCAGGTCCTTAGCCCATTTATTGATTGGGTTATTTGTTTTTTTCGTCTATAAGAAGTTTTTATAATGTGTTTTACTAGTCTGTCTTATTGTAGCGTAAAGATTAAAATTTATCTTAAATTTGTATAGTTTTTCAAAGGGAGCATTTTCCTGGTTGGACTATTTTTTAGTCTTCTTAGTAGGCAACTTTATTAAATACATAAAACCTTTGTTTTGTTACATAGGATTCTAGCAAGAAATTATCTAAATGAAAGAATTTAATGAAATTAGGCTTTCTCTAACTGCAGTTTTTATTATCATGTGTACTGCTTTATACTAGGCATTCACAGTTACAAAATTAACTTAAAGAAAATTATACAAGAAACAAACACATTTTGATAAGGCTTGTTACTCTATTTCCCCCCCCCCCTAACCTTTCAAGTTCTATATTTTGAGGAATTTAGCAATAATAAAGAATCACTAAAGAAGAGGTTATATAATAAAGGTTTTTTTCCTAAATTTGTTATAAATATGTTCAGCATTCACACACAACACATAGTTATTGAGTGGGTGTTTCAGAATCAAACAAAATTTGGAAAATAAAAAGTAGGACTGTTTTTAATAAGAATATCATGTTCTTAATTTGCACAGTTAATTTAGATATGAATTTTAAAAAATATTTGTTAATGAAAACAATACAATATTCATTGTTCTTTGAAAATGTTTCAAACTCTAGAAGTTCTTCCACATATCTGTTCTTCCGTACTCTTTTTCAAGACATAGTTGCTATTAATATTTTGCTTAGTATTTCTCTACATCATTTTTTACAAAATTATTTATATTTAGTTGTGATGGAGAGAATTGTAACAATACAAAAAAAGGATTAGCCTATTCTTTGGGTACTTGAATAACAATTTGTTCTTTCATGTTAGTATTTATAGATCTGTCTCTTTTGTTAAAGAGTTTCAGTGTATGTGCTTACAAATTATTTGTCTGGTTTCCTTTGGTGGACTCCTAGTTGCCTGTTTTAAAGACTTTGATGCCATTGATGTCTTTGTGAATCTATGAATTCTGAGAGTATGAAATAGTCTTATTTCAGAGCATACATATTTCAGAATTTTTCATTATATCTTCAGCCTTTGTATTATCAATATTGTCACATTACCACTTTTGCAGAAATAGAGAAATATGTGAAGTTTATGATTTTCCTATTTACATAATCATACTAGATTTCTTTATAATTTAAACTATTATTTATCAACCATTATTTCATTGTAGATGAATTTAAAGGTCATTCTTTACTACAAGCAGCCAGAGAAGCAGACCTAGCCAAAGTAAAAAAAACACTCGCTTTGGAAATCATTAATTTCAAACAACCGCAGTCTCATGAAACAGCACTGGTAAGATTTTATTATTAATAACATTCTTTTTTGTCTGTAATACTGGAGCAAGCCCGACATAATACCTGAAAGTAACTTTACTATTTGCAATGTCTGTAATTTATATTTTAATGTTAATTGAATTGATTTTTAAATTTGGTTTAGGGGAAGATTATTTTAATGGGCAAGAGAATAGACATTTGCTCAATCTTGATTTGGAGATTATTTTACCTTTGTTTTTACCCAACCTTATTATAACAGATCTACCTTTGTGGTTGTTCTTTCATAAAATACAAGATGTGATTTTTCATGATTAAATTTTCTTTTTTGTTATGTGTTTGCTAGATAAATACCATATTTGTTTTCTGTAGGGAATTGGTGTGTTTTCAAAGATACTTACATCATCCTTTTATGCAATTATATTCAAATAACTGATTATATTCATGCAGAAAAATGGTAAGATCATAAATTTTTCTGTTCCAGACTGCACAAATTACCCTTATAACTATTTCTTTTTCTTCCAATACATTTTTGGAAAGATTTTTTTTATTTTCTTTGACACTGACAAAAAGGGACAGATATAGGGCTTGACTAATGATTGCTCCCAAATACAGAATTTACGCATATGTGATGCTTGTATCACAGACTTTTACATATGCTTCAGTTAATATTCTTATACATATGTGGCACAAAAAGGTCAAACTTTAGTCAATATCTGGTGAAAATAACAAGATTCATCAAACTGAAGTGTGCCAACTGTATATGCACTTAAGTATATGTCAATCAAAACTGGGATTCAGATACATGCAAACTACATAGCATTATACCAGCTTATGCTCAAAGCCACAGAATAGACCTTACCCACCCATGGGGGTGTTTTCATTTTAGTATCAGGTTTAAGTATATATCAGTTTTAAGTGTTAATTTTAAAAAGTTAATATATAACTAATGAAGCAGAATATAAAAGTCATATGCATATTAGGATAAGACATAAAATTTATAAGAGTGTTTATTTTCTAAACTGCTTCAAGTTCATCACTTTCTTGCCAATTTCTAGGTATATAAACATACTTTTTCGAAGTGCTTCAAGTATATCAGTGAAGGAATTTGAAAAATACTGGCTTGTATGGCTGATAGCATAATGAAGGCTTGAATAGTTTAGTTACAGATTTCTGTAGCTTCTAAGAGGCAGTGTTCTAATGACTTTCAGTGGAATATATACTGGATCATTATTGACTAAAGGAAAAGAAATGAGGTCTTTCCTAACACTTAACTAAAAGCATAATTTTGTGTAGGTTTAAAGACTTTATTTATGTTTTATACTTAGTGTACATAGGAGAAATATTCATCATATCTATAATGTAAAATATATAATTATGTTCTTGGTACTCTTTGAGATAACAGTGTCCTAAATAGTCAGCAGATGCTATTTATTCAGAAATCTATTTTTAAATAGAAGTTTAGCTTATTAAATTATTTCTCTTTATAGCATTGTGCTGTGGCCTCCTTGCATCCCAAACGAAAACAAGTGACAGAATTATTACTTAGAAAAGGAGCAAATGTCAATGAAAAAAATAAAGAGTAAGTATAATTGCAGAAGAGTTATTCAGTTCTTAAAAGAGGAAATGCAGTAAGAAAAAGAAAATTACCTTTTCCTTTTCTCCTTTCCATAGTTTCATGACTCCCCTGCATGTTGCAGCCGAAAGAGCCCATAATGATGTCATGGAAGTTCTGCATAAGCATGGAGCAAAGGTAAGGCACACACCAGACACAGAGTGCCAGACTCAGCACTGAGCAGCTAGCTGTTCTTAAGAGTGCTACTTTTCTCTGATTTTTCAGAAGAAATTAATTTTTTCCAGAAAGAACTGTTGATTTGTATTTAAATTCATAAATTCTCCTATAAATCTTATTTTAATTTTGTTTCTAATCAGAGTAATTCCCTGTTTCTTTCTCCTTTACCCTCAATCTTCTAAGAAATAACAAAGTGTAGCTAATATCATTTAAAATAGATTTCAACTTTATAGACATTGTTAATTATATGGCATATTTTGATAGTGAATATTTTGGTGATAATTGTAAACTATCAGAAAATAGTTTACAGTAGCTCTACTTACTTTAACAAACATTTGTATTCCCCCAAATTGCTAAGATTAACTTTCTCAATTTCTACACTAAAGAAATATGAAATTTTAGTAACTATTTTTATTAGCATTATTTGGATGACATATTCTGAAATTCTGAATATGTCACTTGAGAGAAGAAGAAAGCAAACTGGTTGTTTTTCAGCGGGGACTTGAACTTGCAAATATTTAAATCTTCAAGAATATATATTTTAAAGCACTGGTCTTCAAAATAGGGTACAGATATTGGAGTCACCTATAAAAACTGAACTTACAACCAAATCCTCAAATCCCTACATCATAGTTTTTTTTTTAATATTTGTTTTTTAGTTATAGGTGGACACAATATCTTTATTTTTATGTGGTGCTGAGGATCAAACCCAGTGCCTCACACATGATACACGAGCACTCTACCTCTGATCCACAACTCCAGCCCCATACATCACAGTTTTTTAAAAAATATTTTGAAGTAGAGCCAAAGGATATTTTGTACCATTGTAATTAAAATTTTTCTTCAATTTGAATTGTTTTATCTCTTTCCATTTCTTTGTAATTTCTCTTCTAGTAGTACTTTTATATTTACTTGTAATGTAGTAGTATAGCACTGCTTGGTTATAATATTTCAAATGAATAAGGAAGACCAAAGGGTGTAGGAAGAGAGAGGGATGGGAGAGAAAGGGAAGGCATGTACTGGGGACTGAACTGGAGCAGACTATGTTATATACACAGGTATGTATCAAAATTAACCCCACTAGTATACATAACTATAATGCCTTAATACAATTTTTAAAAATAAAACAATTTTACAAATGTATACATGTATTCAGAGGGTTATTTTTATTCAAGGGTATAGGATTCAAAAATTTATTATATATGACTTCTTTAAGTCATATAAAAGTCTTTAAAAGGCCATTTGAGGCTTTTAATTTAAAAATCAACATGAGCTGGAATAAAAGAAAGAATTCCAGAAATTTATTACCTAATTTTTAGGTACAGCTACAGATTTGTTATATAAGTAGCATCTTTTTCTGTCAAGCTGAAAATAAGGTAAGTAGGGGGCTCAGTTGTTAGAGTGCTTGCCTTGCATGCACATGGCTCTGGGTTCAATCCCCAGCACCACCAAATAAATAAATAAACTAAGTGGGCTTTCTTTTATACTTATAAGCATCATGTTTATCATCGGCCTGTTTTTGTAAACATTTATGGTATTTGTGATGCTCTTGAAAAATTATGAATAATGCCCTTAATTTGGGGAAAGTAATATCTATTTTCTCTTGTGAATCATTTTAGAAAGATTCAGTGAAAAAATAACATTATCTCAAAGCCTGTCCTAATCATCATTACTCTAGATCTGTAATTCTCAATCTTTATCTGCCCTTCGTGTGCACAATCAGTTCATCAGTGGAGCATGTATAATTTTAAACATCCTGTCAGTGATGTAGAATGACTTGCAGAGTAGAATATCCTCCCTAGCCTTTCCTTTACAGCAAATAAATGGAGAAGTCTTGCAATTATGTGTTTTAAAATCATACTAAGACAAAGTTATAAACAATAAAGTTGCTATCAATAGATCACAAAAGCCATATCAACTTCCATTTGCACCTTCCTTGATTCTAAGGCATCATGCTATCCCTCAGGGTTGGTGCATACAGTGATTAATGTGTTAGTTTTTAAAATATGTGTTAATGTGTTAGTTTAAAAAAACAAAACAAAACAGAAATTCCTGTGGTAAAACCCACTTGGCTACTCTTGGGCCCAGTTGTTGCTGGCTTGACATTTTCTTTCTAGGAAATCTAGAAATTCTATTTGATTTTTAAGCAATGCATGGTTTTCATTTGACTCTAGAAGCACATTCTAAATGAGCCGCACTATACTATAATTTGGATTCAGCCCTCTTAACACGGCGTACACCATCCTGCTTCTGCCCCTTCCTCCTAAGAGTCAAGTATCCCAGGATGAGGAAGAAGAATTTTGGGAGGAAAAAATTACCATTAATTAATTTGTCTTACCTAGCAGATACTAGTAATATTTTTTTGTAAGTCAAAACATTATTTTCCCCAAGTGTTGGTGATAAAAACAAATTTCAGGTTCATCGTGCATGTTAATTAAAAATATTGCATATGTAATTTAGGCATGCTTTTGAATTTAGAATTCCTCCACTTTCTAGTTTTGTGATCTTATATTAAATGTCTCTGAGCCTCAATTGACTCATCAATGTTGTGAAATAAGCCTGAGAAGACATTTATCAAATCCATTTATAATTAGTTTTGATCCACCTTAACAAATATTTACAAAATGATCAAAACTGTACTGGATACAGTGGGAAAATACCAGATTGAAAGTAAATGCAATTACTGAACTTGAGTGTAGTCCTGAATTAATTTAGAAACATTGGTAATAAGGAAGGAAGAGAAAAATGAAAGCCACTTAGAAGGAATTATTATATTAATTGGAAATGAATTGGGCATTAGAAGCACTCAGAAAATGGTGATACAATTAGAAGAAAACTAGAGAGAAATACTGGTTTCCTGTGCCTTAACAATGATTTGAATTGATATGATAGAGGGACATTTAGGTAAAATCAGCAGTTAGAAATGTAGCACTAGAGTATGAAAGAGAATTTTGGATTGAAAAGATCTGTTGGAGAGCCATCAGTTGTAGTGATTATGTTGTGGGAGGGATTAAGGGTCTCTGGTAGAGAGCATGAAAAGACAAGTTGAGGGTTAGGGAAAGAATCTTTGAAGATTTCTGAGGTTTATTGAGCAATAATGGAAAATGTTAAGTGAAAGATCTGTCACCATGTCTAACTATACAACAGTAGTATGAGATGCAACAGGTGATGAGTGCCACAGAGAGAAATTAAGGCAGATAAAAAGACATTTAATTTGGCAGTTTTTATATGCCAGATTTAGCAGCTTTTGAAGGAGATGTTTTAGAGAAATAAAAGTTTGTACCCAATTATTGATGATAAATGCCCTCAAAATGTGTTTTGCTGAACATTTTAATAAAGAAATTATAGCTGGCTATGGTGGCACATACCTGTAATCTCAGCGGCTCAGGAAGCTGACACAAGGGTGTTAGGAGTTCAAAGCCAGCCCCAGCTACATCAAGGCTCTAGGCAACTCAATGAGACCCTGTCTCTAAATAAAAACACAAATTATGGTTGTGGATGTGGCTCAGTGATTGAGTGCCTCTGAGTTCAATCCTTGATACAAAAAAAAAAATTATATCAAAAATGTGGGCAAGATTTCAAGGATCAGCACAGGAGTGAAGTAGAACTAGCAGAAAGAAGATAGTATTATCATCTTTGACCTGGAGAGGGTAGTTATTTGGAGATGGCCCCTTCTCTCTTCCCAATGTCTCCTGTTAGCCAGATTTAAAAGGCTACAAGAGACTGTTGATTTGGTCCTATGAATAATTTTCCCAGGATGCAGAATAGGATAGAAAATGAATCTGAAGAAACAATTAAGCGATATTCAGTTAAATGTTAGAAAACAGGTTGCTAATAAGAAAAGGAAGATTAGAAAAATTTAAAATTAGAAGATTCGAAAAATTAAGAAAATTGCCTCATTTGGCTGGGGATGTAACTTAGTGGTGGAGCACCTACTTCACATATCCAGGGCCCTAGGTTCAACCCATAATACTGTCATACAAACAAAAACGTAGCTCCTCAGTGGTGGAGTCTTTGCCTAAAGTGTGAACCCCTAAGTTCATTCCACAATACTGCAAAAAAAGAAAGAAAGAAAATGAGGTATATTAGCCAACTCATTTGAAAAAAAAATCTTGTGCTACAAGTTAACTTCTGTACCTTAAAAAATTAATAACCGTATTTACCATTCTCTAATTTGTGAGATTGTGAGGTTACATAAAGCCTAAACAAGTAAGACATAGAAGATTTTATTCTTCATGCAATAGTTTTTCATCATTATTGTTAGTCTACCATAGCATTCTGCACTCTGTACTAGTGAATTGCCTGGCATTCTGCAGTTTATCACTAATGAATTGTCTGCTGTCATTATTGAGAACTTGTTCTCCAATTGCCTATGACATTATTAATATTTAAGAACAAAAAATTTAATTTAGAAGTTTTTTTTTATACATAAGCACTACTACATTGTCATTTGCGTCCATCTGTTAAATGCATGAAACATGAATGGATTTCTTTCAATTTGTTCATTTCTTAATTGGCTCATTATATCATCTGTAGGCAGATATGGTGACAATAGTAATTGGCATTTAATGGGCTTCTTTCTCCAATTGAGAAGTGATCACAAGTCTTTGCTCATTTGGGGGAAGTGTGCTTATTTTAAGGTTTCCATTAATGCTATTCTAGAGGAAGATAGATAAGCTTATTAGCTAAAAAGTGTTAAAATGCTTTTAAAGATATTTTGGAACTAAAAGTTTAGTTTAGATAATAATATCTAAGATTTGTCTACATCAAAATAATGTCCATTGGGCTAATATCACAAAGATGTTTTAGTTATCAGTTGAATCTGGATTAACCACAAATAGAAATCGGTTATTACTTTTGTGAGATAACCATGTTTATCCCCCAGAAGTAATCTGAAATTATTTCTGAAATTCACATAAAAAGACAAAAAAAAAAAAAAAAGGAATTTGGAAATGGTACCT